CACCCATCAAACCGTCATCTACATTAGGTATTTCTCCTAATGCTCTCCCTCCCCTAGCCCGTCACCCCCTGACAGGCCCTGGTGTGTGATGTTCCCCTCCCGGTGTCCATGTGTTCTATTGTTCAACTCCCACTTATGAGTGAGAACCTACAGTGTTTGGTGCCACACTTTCTTTATCCAGTCTATCATTGATGGGCATTTGGGTTGGTTCCAAGTCTTTGTTATTGTGAACAGTTCACAATAACGAAGTGTGCATATGTCTTTATAGTAGAATGATTTATAATCCTTTGAGAATATACCTAGAAATGGGATTGCTGGGTCAAATGGTATTTCTGGTTCTAGATCCCTGAGGAATCGTCACACTATCTTGCACAATGGTTGAACTAATTTACACTCTCACTAACAATGTAGAAGCGTTCCTATTCTCCACATCCTCTATAGCATCTGTTGTTTCCTGACATTTTTATGATTGCTATTCTAACTGCCGTGAGATGATATCTCATTGTGGTTTTGATTTGCACTCCTCTAATAACCAGTGTTGATGAGGTTTTTTTATATGTTTTTTGGCTGCATAAATGTCTTCTTTAGAGAAGTGTCTGTTCATATCCTTCGCCCACTTTTTGATGGGATTGTTTGTTTTTCTTTCTTGAAAATTTGTTTAAGTTGTTTGTAGATTCTGGATATTAGTCCTTAAAGAATTATTTTAACCATGAAGAGAAAGATGGAGGGGAGGGGGAATAAAGATAGCAGTGGCTATACCAGTTAGAATACTGTTGATTTCATCCATTAAGAATTGATGATGTCATGGACTGCTGTGGTAAGATTTACAATGATAAGACTATGTTTAATCTAGAATATATTCTGAAACTAAGCTAGAAAGTTCATTGATTGGTTAGATACAGTTTGTGAGAAAGAGCTCGGAATTAAGACTGACTATAAGATTTGTGGCCTGGGCTGCTGGTGTATACTGTACTGGTAATATACTGTTCTTGGCCATCAAGAACTCCAAGAAAAGCAGGCTTGTGGTAGGAAGGACTTTGGTCCTTTAGATATACAAATGAAAATGTGAGTAGATAGTTGGTTATGCCAGGGAACTAGAAAAATGCATATAGGAATCCTAACCATACAGGTGGTGTTTAGAGCCAAAGGCTGGCTATCCCATATGCAGAGTGAAGGCAGACAACAGCTCTGTGGGCCAGGAACAGTGGCACTCCAATAGTTCAGTGTCAGGAAAAGGATGATCTAGCAAAGACAATTGGGAGATGAGAAGAAAATCTCAAAACCAATTCAAGGAGAATGTTTCATAAAGAGCAGGTGTGATTACAGCACAAGTGTTGTTTGAAAGTCCAGGGAGATGAGGACTGAGATTTGGCAAAATGCACTTATACTATAGCATGAGACATTGGAAAGAAGGGTTCCGATGAAGACAGTAGATAAAAGATTAATTAGAAAGAGGGAGAATGGGTTAAAAAAGTTGAGATAGTAATTAATTTTGCTGAGAAGTTTCACTACAAAGAGAAGCAGAATATGGAGGGTCAGTGGTTGGAGGAGACTGTGAGTTCAGGATTTTTTTCTCTAAAGTCCAATCAGCAGCCTAATATCCCTTGATCCTTTACTGGCTATTATTGCCGTGTAATTACTTGTCTCAGTGTTCTCAGTTGTTCCTCCTCCTCAGATAAAATAGGGGAAAGAGTTAGCCAAGATTGGCCTCTGCTTGCTGAGCAATCTATACATTTTGATCTTCAGCCAAATGACCTCAAAATTTTTATGTGTGACTTTTGGGTGCTCTGGGAATTTGGAACGAAAGTCACTATGTTGCTAAAGCAATTGACTGTGGCTGACACTAGGTGCTTTGTCTGGAAGTGAGACTATCTGCTGCCAGCCCTAATGAGGATTCCACTGGGGATTGATAGTTGTGGCACTTACGGGAAACATTGCTTGGAGTGGGAACCAGCTTATAAGAAGGGGCAGGGGACACAGAATGATTTCTGCTCATCCCCAGTCCCTCCCCAAGGACCAGGGAAGAAGTTCTCAAAGTCTGGCTTTTACTTAACCCTGCATGACCAGATGCTCACCTGAAGCAGGGGCACATTAATGTATCTTTTTTCAAAAAAGATGCCAGAGCAGGAATCAAGTTAGCCTTTTGAAGCTACCCCTCTGGCCCACACACGAGTGTCCAAGTGAAGTCCCCTCCTTGTCCAGGACAAGCTCTGTAGGGAGTGGAAGTGCAGGGGCAACCGAACGCCACAGTAATGTGGACAAACACTGCCCACATCGTATTCTTGGGGCTGTAGGGCTCTGGGAAAAATACCTCCACTCTATGTAGGTCCATACCCTGGGAATTCTGTGAACATCCCTGCTGCCTCAGTGCTGTGAATTCTAAATCAAGGGGGCAGAGGAAGCAGGCAGCTTCAGTGTTTATGCTTAAATAACGTTAGGAATGAGGGAGAGCTCACCAACCTGGAAAATGTACCTGCCACCATACCTTGCCCACCTAATCCTGGCTTGCAGGTGACTTCCTGGGTACTCATCCAAAATGCTTTTCCTCAGAGTCTAGCAAACCCATTCTCATTGCCATCATTGCCCTAGAGGCACTGCTTTCTTAGAGAGGGAAAGCTAGTTGATTGATAGGACATTGTGTAAGATGTGGAATAGGAGAGAATAGCTTCCATCCCTCTCTGCACCCGCCTTCTACCCAAAACTCATGGCTCTTGAGAATTTGGAGCAAATTGGAGTGGAGTGACCACAGTGTTTTCCTCCACATCATTCTGCTGTCTTTAGTTTTGCTTCTAGCTTCCCACACTGACCAGCCCCTGTCCTGCTTCTGAGCAGTCACGTTCCTCCATGTGCTGACATGTCTTCTCTCTGCATCACCACAGTTTCCTAGACCTCTTGGTTTGGGTCACTCAGGTGTTGTCATGGCAATGACATCCTCAGTAGAGTAGCACTGCTCATGTTGTCATGGTTATCAGGACCTCTTGATGGGAGCCCCACTTCACTGTTGTCATGTGGAGAGCAGGAAGGAACCCTAGGACCTTCCGGTAAGCCTGGATTCTTAGGCTAGGCACGAGTCATCTGTGCCCGAAAATGAAGGTGGTTATGATTGAGGAAATAGCAGCTGCCTAAAATGGTGAGATTCTAACCACGTGAGAAATGAATAACTGAAAGAGGGATCATCATCCTCATCACCGTGATCACCTCCTTCCTACCTCCTCTTCGTCCTCTGCATAGTGTCTGATATTTTTATGGTGGTTTGGCTGTGTTCCACGTACTCTTCTAAGTGTTTTCCATTTGTGAACTTCTCCATTTTCTTGATAGCCTTATGATGTAGTTGTTCTTGCTGTTCTTTTGCAGATGAGGGAACTGAGATGCAGAGCACTCACTTAGACCGCTTGCTCACAGGTGCACCCTAACATGCAATATGGCCAAGACTTAACCAGGCAAGCTGGTTCCAGAGGTTTCACTCTGAACTCATTACCTATTCTGTTTCAATACTAACAAGAAAATTCAAGATGAATCAGTCTAGTTACTGAAGGCGTTGCTAAATTATATCACCTTCTTTTTGGCTAGAATCCATATAGTTTATATTTTTTACTATTTTTAAGTTTTAAAAGATTTTCGTATGTTCATTTGATTCAAACAACTATCTGCAGTTAGTACGACTATTAACTGTATTTTTACAGAAAAGAAGATCAAAGTTTTGAGAGTTCATAATTCCCCAAGGAAAGTTGACTTCTAAACTGTGTTGGACTAGGTCTGAATGCATGGCAATCTATAGATTCAGAAGCTAGTGTTTTGTCTTGTTCTGCTGCATATCACATCATGTTTTATGGCCCAGAGTCTGGCTATGGGGAGGAAAGTGGTTCAACCATCTAAGATAAATGGTTAGCAGCAGTCACCTCTATGGATAGAAGGACCACATGGCAAGTCTTGGCATGTTCACTCAAGGAGCCATCCACCCTCTTTTGCCCTCATTATTCTATGCCTAAAAATTCCACTGTTACAGTAGCTACTTTATCTGTTGCCATATAGGCAAGAGAGCAGCAACCTTCCTTCCATGGCAACTGCTGTCATAGAATCTGGGCTGCTTTGAGCAAGTCATTTAACCTGTACAGGAGAATCCCAATAGAAGGTTAATTAGCTCTGTGTCTGATATAAATGACAATTAAACACAAATAAGTTACTTAGGAGCTGGGCTGTAAGAAAGTACAGCTTTTAAGAGAGAGGAAGTTGAGGCCTGAGAGTCGATGTATCTTCTCATTCGAGTACAAAGGGATTGATTGGAGGGAGACATGCTGAGTGGGGAACAGCAAAGCTAATAAAGATGATTATAAACAGTAGCAGCAAAGGCTTCTCATTGTTTAAATTATCTGCCAGCACTTTACCTATATCAGCATGTTTAGCTTTAGAGCAACACTGTGAAGTAGGTAATAACGGTATTATTATTATCCATATTCAAAAAATAGGGAAAGTGAGGTGCAGAAATGTTAGTTAACTTGCTGGAGGTCAAGTCAGAGGTGGAGCTGGGACCTGCACCCAGCTCCTGGACGTGTCTGGCGGCATCGGCAGCTGTCTTTTCTGCATTTGGACTGGGTTCCAGGACCTGGGCCTGGAGCTTAACCAGAGGCGTAACGATGAACCTCAGGGCTTCCTTTCTGCTCACCACTCTCCAAGCAGCTGCTCCCAGTGCACTTTGCCCACCCTCTCTGAGCCTTCGCTGTCTCCTCTGTCAAGTTAAGACAGTGATAGGATGTAGAATCTTAGCTTGTTGTAAGGATTACGTGAGGTAACTCATGGAAGTGCATGCCCGGGTCTGATATAAAACAAACACTCAGGATGGGTGTGGTGGTGCACGCCTGTAATTCCAGCACAATGGGGGACTGAGGCAGGAGGCTTACTTGAGTCCAGGAGTTCGAGACCAGCCTAGGCAACATAGTGAGACCCCATCTCTACAAAAAACAATTTTTTTTAATCAGCTGGATGTGGTGATGTGCACCTGCGGTCACAGCTGAGGCGGAAGGATCACTTGAGGCCAGGAGGTCGAGGATGCGGTGAGCTATGAACTCACCATGCCACTCCAGCCTGTGTGATAGAGACACTTGTCTCTAATAGTAGCAGTAATAATAATGCTCAATAAGTATCATCAGAGTGGTGACATCACAGGTGGTATACAGAGTGAGCATTAGACTTGGTAGTTATTCCTGTCCTCAGCAATGTGTCATCTTAATCTTAAAGATGAACATACTGTTTATAGCACAGAGTAAAGTGCCGGATGTGGCAAGCTAAGATGCAAACATCCATCTTCAAGACCTTTCTGTAATACTCAATTTTCTCTAACGCAGAGTTTGGCCTATACTATTCTTAGATGACCTGTTGGTACAAGGGCTACCATTTTCTTTTGGCAGTTTCTGAGTCTCCATGTCCCCTCAAGTGAAATCCATAATGTCTTCTAAGTTTCCAGTGGATTTCAAAGCCTCGTAATTAACGTCCATTTAGTAGCGATAGGGAATGACTGCTTGTTGCTTTCTTAACATCCTTTCTTTTACAGGTAAAAGGATAAATTTATAATTAGCAGCCTCCAATTTGCATAGACGCAGAAGTTTAATTAAGGGAGCAGAAAGTGACTGAAATTTAATTGAAAGTAATACTATGATCTAGGTTTTAATAAACCAAAACATAAATGGATACATTCTTATTTCTATTCTAAAAGGGTACTTTATTCAAAATGTGATAATCCAATCTTGAATTGAGATATGTTTTTTGTCATCACTGGGTAAGCAACTTCCTAGCCACTTTCCACAAAGTGGATTTTGCTATGAGCTATGAGCTGGATACCAGTCTGCCCAGTGAAGAGCCTCCTTCATTCCTACTTCCATAAAAAAGTAACTTGGGAATAGAGTCAGTGCTGTCCACAGGCCTTGGTAATATCAAGATGCTGCTGTCCTCATTCGATATTTAAACATCAGCTCTGACGCTGTTTTCATGCACTTTTCAAATGAAAGCTCTCCCCTCTGCCTAGCTAATGGACAGCACAGTGGGAGGAGACCCGTCTGCCGCCCTCCCTAGGCAATGTAGCTGCCAAGCGGGTGGAAGCCAGAGCAAGAGAGCCAGGAGGTTCACAGCAGTGTGTCTTTCCAGATCCAAGGGAGACACAAAAGGGAATTAAAAACTTCACGTTGCGTTGTTGTCACTCTACCCGGGTCTCGCTTGGGAGAGCTCTGCAGCTGCAGAGTGCTGAGAAGTCAGCCCTTCAGAGCAATTACAATTCATATTGACTATAAACCTCCCACTGTGCAAGGAAAGGAAGGGAGGTGCTTGCCAAGCGCTCAGAGGGGCGACTGGAAGTTATTTTACCATCTGATGATATATACCACGTTGGCAAACATTAGGGGAAAAGAGAAGGAGGAGAGAAAGCAAAGAGTTTGTGGAGAAGCTGACAACTGATCATCCGGCATTCATGAAAGGAACTGGGACCCAGGAGCACTGGTGTCGCCCACCTGTCACTGCTGCAACTGGCTTGTCTATGGTCTACACTTGGGCGAGGAAAGCTTTTAACCTGATGTCCCAGCTCACACACAACTAGAGGAGAGGGCAGGGAACACAAGGAAGTGAAGAGCACTTTGGTCAGAACACTTGGTTTGCCTCTTTGCTCTGCCAATTACTAAGTGGATGACTCTTAACAAACCAATTAACCTCTCTTAACCTTTGTTACCTCATCTGTAAAATAGGATCAGAATATGAAGATTAGCAACAATACATCGGAGGTGCTTTGTAAACATGAACACATTATGCACATTGTCCTTTATTAAAAGTTTTGTATTAATTATGCATATTCTTTTGGGCAGTGCCGAGAAAATAAAAAAGGCAGAGAGGAGAGGTGTGAACCCACCACAGAGCAATCTTCTAAGATAAAGGTGTTTTTACATTTTTGCAACACAAACTCAAAAAGCAAAAAATGTAAGCGGTGTTTATGACCATTGTTATAATAACAGCAATTATCATTTGTTCTCATTATCGTTTGCTAAGTCTTGCATTTATTTACACAGCACAATTAATCTGAAAGTTCACCTAACCATTTCACAAATGCTACGGTGGAATGGAGTCCAAGGAAGTGAACAGAGTTGAACGTTAGGACACAGCTGGGCAGTGCAGGAATTAAAAGGTAAATCACCAGGCAAAAGGAACAACGAGATTGATGCCAGTTTTAGAATGGGGCCAGATTGGCACAGGGGCTCACGCCTGTAATCCCAGCATTTTGGGAGGCCAAGGTGGGCAGATCACTTGAGGTCAGTAGTTCAAGACCAGCCTGGCCAACATGGTGAAACCCTGTCTCTGCTAAAAATGCAAAATAAAATTAGCCAGGTGTAGTAGTACACACCTGTAATTCCAGCTACTTGGGAGGTTGAGGGAGGAGGATCACTTGAACCCAGGAGGCAGAGGTTGTGGTGAGCCGAGACCATGCCACTGTACTCCAGCCAGGATGAAAAAGCAAGACTCCGTCTTAAAAAAATAAATAAAAATAAAAAAAGAATGGGGCCAGAATATTTGACTTCCAAAGGATTTAAGTATCTCAAAGCCAGTGTTGACTCTTATTGTCTCATTTCATGACACCAGCGATCGGCAGATAAAGGCAGGTGGGTTTACGAATAGCTCGTGAGCTCACAATGAATTTTATATTTTAAGTGGTTGAAAAAAATTATAGAAGAATCATATTTCGTGGCTTGTGCAAGTTATTTGAAATTAAAATGTCATTGTCTCTAAATAAAGTTTTATCAGAACACAGCCATGCCCATTTGTTTATGGCTGCTTTTGTCTTACGATGTCAGAGTTGAGTAGTTGCAACTAGATTGTAGGTATAGGTTGGCAAAGCCTGAGATATTTATCATCTGGTCCTTTAGAGAAGTATGCCAATCCCTGCACTGCATGAAGATGGACTCCTGAAGGTTCTCAACACTGTTATTAAAATTCTTATTTTATTCCGTACTCCCTTTTTGGTGCCTTTTCTCAGCACTCTGTGAAGTAGCAATGATGATAGCTCTCATATCCATTCCAAACGATGCCCACTTCTCTGTCTTCCAAGAGTGGCCCCTGCCACCCTCCAGGGGTCCTCCCTGTCTTGTAGATGTTGTGCTCCACTTGACAGCTATGGCTCACCTTATTTTCAACCTCAGCTACAACAAGACACTTTCTTGCCTCGCCCCTGACTAGTCATCTCTGCCTCCATCTTCATTATGCAAACAATTCTATACTCTGCCCACTTGGGCTTTTTTGGAGTCACTCTTTTCTGGGGTTAACAAAAATCTGATTCTTGCCCTGGATCTTTGGTTATGCTCACTGGTCTGCTGTTGGTTCTGGTTCTACCTATGAGGAAGTTTGTTTTCGGATAGTGGCACTGGTTGGTTTGTTTCTGTAGCACACAGCATTCTGTGGCAGCATCTGAGTCCGTCTTCACTACTACTGCCTTAGAGGGGGCCATCATCTTCCCAGGAGGAGTACAGTTGCATCAATCGGCACCTTCAACCAAAATGTATCATTGCATACTCCTTACCTCTGCTGGTTTCAAACCTATATTTTATCATCACCAACTCTTCTCCCTGCCTCTTCACCCTCTCTCCCTGTTTTCTGTCTGGAATCTCTGTAGCGAAAGTTTATTTGTGAAGCAGAGGTGGCATGCCTTAAGTTGACCAGAAGATCATGGTCAAATGAGCCCTACCCAATTTACTACATTTCTTTTGAATTCCTTAGGTATCTCCTAAGGACCTCTCAGAATCCTGTAATTACAATTTCATAATTTCAAAAATACTTTACATGTTATAATAATAATGATTTCAACAATAAGAGAAAGGGACCACTCTGTCATAGAGATTTCTTTTCTATTTAGATGGACTCTGAAATCTTGTCACTTCAAAAGTGAACCTCAATTTTTACATCAAAAAATTACTAGTTATTGTTAACTGTTAGAAGTATGTGTCATTTATATTCTGCATAACTCTGATACTTTTAAAAATGTGTAATATGTGTTTGTGACAATCTTATAGTCATAAACTGAGCCTTTAGAAATAGATTTTCAATGTTAGATTCCAGTAAGATATGTTTTAGCTGAAACAGATATTTAATTAAATCAGGACAGGCCTTTGGTGAACCAGCAGGCAACATGCCTGCCTGTATTAATGTGGTTCTCCCTTTGCTGTGATGCAGAGAGCTCCATATGATCTGAAGACTCTGTTGTAGCAGCAGTCTGATTCATGACATTCCCTAGTTGTCAATGGGATGAATTCTGGAATGAAGCCCAGATTCTAAAGTCAACCCACATGGGTTTTCTAATGCAGGGGGAGTCATCTCTGCTTTCATCTTCATTAAATACCATTAGAATCATCTTCCGACCCCTCAAGGAGATGAGAAATGTTGGAGCCTCCAATGATGCATCAATAGGAAGCAAGGTGGGTTATCAAACCCCCATCAGGCTTTAAGTATTCACTGTGTGTGGGTGTGAGTGTGTGTGTGTGTGTGTGTATGCGTGTATGTGTCCAATCATCACGCATCTCCTGCCTCCAGAATGTTCTTCCTCTTGTGTTGTAAACTGGATTGAAAGGTGGTCACATTTCAGAATAAGCAGATGCCTAGAATGTAGTACTTTTGGTAGCACTAAAATAGGAGAAACAAAACTATCAAAAGGAAATTCTATTTCTTTCCTACTTTTCTTTTTCTTCCTCTCCCTATGTAGCACTAACTCATTTGCCCTGCAAAAAGTCCCTTGGGCGTTTATCAATTAGCTGAGGTAATCCAGGCTGAGCCACATGGGGCTCAGAGACCACCCCACCATAAGCATCGACATCTGACAGGGTGGATTTTCCAAGATAGTTCCACACTATTCTATATGGGCCTGTTTAGTATCCCATTATTAGTGTTTTTAAAAGTGAACCCCCTGGGAAAATTTTCAACTGATTAATATTCACCTCTGCATATGCAGTCTATTTGAACAATATGGTGTTTTTGACAATTATCAGAACTACTTAGTATACCCTCAGGAAGTAGTCAGTGATCTGCCATTGCTGTGAACCTTTCTGGAATACATGTCATCGAAATGTCTTCGATCTGGTTTAAAAAGTCAGCCCTCAGTTTTTTGACAGGCACACACACAGACACACACACATATAATAAAATTGTATAACTCGCTTAATTCATGATAGTTTGAGCCAAATGGCTGTTCACAAAATAAAGCCTATGCTTGAAAATGATTTTGTTGTCATTAAAGGCATGAAAAAGTATCATTAGCCAACTTTTCTGGAGCATTTATTCTTTACCAAGCCTGAGTAAAGTGCTCTACATCTGTGATCACATTTAATCTTCATAATGAGGTAAGTATCATTGTAATCTTCATTTTACAGATAAGAACTTTGAAGCTCAGAGAGGTTCGGTGATTTTTCCAAAGTTATATAGGAATAACTTTTGTGGCAATTTTTTATTAGTTCGTATCGTATCTATAGAAACTAATTTTACTTAGAAGGAAAACAGCACTGGGGAAAGATAATAGACTTGGAATCAAACAGACCTGTGTTTCCATCTGCTTCACATTTGTCAGCCACTTCTCCAATTGTAAATCGGGAGGAATATATACCTCTAAAAGTGGGACCGCATAACTATTCCACATCCACTGTAGGCATAATGGAGCACTAGTAATCAACAGCAGCCATGATTACTAGTGTTATTAGGATGAGAAGATGGGGACAGAATTACCTATACTTGAATCAACAGGGATGGACAGAGCAATGAAAAGGTTTTGAATCAAAATCAGAGTCAGGGAAACCACAGCACTGCTATAGAAAGACAGAGCAAGCCAGACTGAAGAGGGCTGTGCTAGTGCTCAGAAGTGTCCGAGAATTCTTTGCGCCACTCTCCTCCGCGGCAGTCTAATCCCCCGGCCTGGAGAATGGCTGCCCTTACTGACTCCCTCCGAAAGAAGGAAGGAGTAAGGTGGAAGCAAGGCCGTGTGATGTCCAAGGCCAGGTTACAGAAGGCCACAGAGCTTCTGCTGGTTTTTCCTGGGGACACCACATAGTGAGACCTTCAAGAGAGGGGAGACCAGGGACCCACATCCCCAGGCCCAGCTGTCAAGAGTCTGGAAGTACAGCAACCTTAGAGGACCCCAGTCCCCCATGATCTGGCCTGCAACCTCATGGAAGGCCCTGATGTGATCTGTTGGTTGAGCTCATTCCACTCCAGATTCATGAGTAGAAAACTAAGATGGCCATTGTTGGTGAAAGCCCCTGTTTTGGAGCTGTTTGCTCCTCAGCAGTAAACGTCCAGAGCATGGGTCCATCATCCGGTGTCCGAAATTGGCGAGTTCTTGGTCTCACTGACTTCAAGAATGAAGCCGCGGACCCTCGCGGTGAGTGTTACAGTTCTTAAAGATGGTGTGTTCTGAGTTTGTTCCTTCAGACGTTCAGATGTGTCTGGAGCTTCTTCCTTCTGGCGGGTTCGTGGTCTCACTGTCAGGAGTGAAGCTGCAGACCTTCGTGGGGAGTGTTACAGCTCTTAAAGGCAGCGCGTCTGGAGTTGTTTGTTCTTCCCGATGGGTTCGTGGTCACGCTGGCTTCAGAAGTGAAGCTGCAGACCTTCTCGGTGAGTGTTACAGCTCATAACGGCAGCATGGACCCAAAGAGTGAACAGCGCAAGAGCGAAAGAATAAAGCTCCCAAAATGTGGAACGTGACCACAGCGAGTTGTCTCCACTGGCTCGGGCAGCCTGCTTTTATTCTCTTATCTGGCCCCACCCACATCCTGCTGATTGGTTCATTTTACAGAGAGTTGATTGGTCCACTTTACAGAGAGCTGATTGATCCATTTTGACAGAGTGCTGATTGGTGCACTTACAATCCTTGAGCTAGAAGCAGAGTCACAGAGTGCTAGTCCTCCAAGTCTTTACTAGGTTAGCTAGATGCAGAGTACCAATTGGTGTATTCACAAACCCTGAGCTAGACACAGAGTGCTGATTGGTGTATTTACAAACCCTGAGCTAGACACAGAGTGCCGATTGGTGCATTTACAATACTTGAGCTAGACACAGAGTCACAGAGTGCTAGTGCTCCAAGTCTCCACTAGGTTAGCTAGATACAGAGTACCAATTGGTGTATTCACAAACCCTGAGCTAGACACAGAGTGCTGATTGGTGTATTTACAATTCTTGAGCTAGACACAGAGTCACAGAGTGCTAGTCCTCCAAGTCTTCACTAGGTTAGCTAGATACAGAGTGCTGATTGGTGCACATACAATCCTTCTCCGGCTAGATATAAAAGTTCTCCAAGTCCCCATCCAGTTCAGGAGCCCAGCTGGCTTCACCAGGGCAGGAGATGGAGCTGCCCGCTGGTCCCGAGCTGCGCCTGCGCTCCTCAGCCCTTGGGCTGTCCATGGGACCAGGTACCACGGAGTGGGGGTCCGTGCCCCTCCGGGAGGCTCAGGTCTCACAGGAGCCCACTGCAGGGGGAGGAGCTCAGACATGGCGGGCTGCAGGTCCCGAGCCCTGCCCCGCGGGGAGGCAGCTAAGGCCGGGCCAGAACTTGAGTGTGCCCCCGCAGGCTGGCACTGCTGGGGGACTTGGGGCAACCTCCACAGCTGCTGACCTGGGTGCTAAGCCCCTCACTGCCCTGGGCCGGAGGTGCCGGCTGGCCGCTCCATGTGCGGGCCCACCAAGCATGCACCCGCACTCACCAGAACTCACACTGGCCTGAGAGTGCAGTCCCGGTTCCGCCCGCGCCTCTCCCTCCACACCTCCCCGCAGGCAGAGGGAGGAAGCTCCAGCCTCAGCCAGCCCAGAGAGGGGCTCCCACCGTGCCGTGGCGGGCCAAAGGGCTCCTCAAGCACTGCCAGAGTGGAAGCCGAGGCGGGAGGCCAAGGAGGCACTGAGAGTGAGGGCTGCTAGCACATTGTCACCTCCCAATCGGAAGAAATGCCAGTCGCTCACTTAGATGTGCTATTGTCTTTTGCTCCACACCTCAGCTTCCCTGTCCCTCTGCACTTCCTTCCTTCCGTCAAGACAAGGTGGACTTTGGTCTTGGCTACATGAGGGCCTTTCCAGTGCCCTCGGTTTGCGATCTGACCTCAAGGTTTTTGTTTCAGATCTCAGTATGTCACGGTGATCCCAAAGTTTCTGTCAGATTCAGGTAGCTCCAGAATCACAGAGCCCTGAAATTTTGTCTTGATAATTAGCTCTTTACTCTCTCTGCCTTTGGGCCACTGGCCCCATCAAAATGGCGGAAAGTTAAAGAAGCCTGTCCTGTGAAGAGGTCTACTTTTTCAGCCCATTGGTGGACATTCTCACTCCCTGACAAAGCTGCATTTAGTCTCAGCATCTCAGGCTGAGGACTACAGTGTGGAGACGGAGGTGGGGTGGGTCCCAGTGCTACTCCCTCTCTCTGGAACCCACAGGCAGAGGCCTCAAGCCAACTGTCCTTCCCTATAAATCAGAAACAGGACAAGTAGAAGCTTGGACGTCTTCGTCTCTCTATAGCCAGAGGAAATCTGGGCACGCAGAGAGATTTGGAGTTTCATCCTCCCATCTCAGCCAGTCCCAGGCCTCGCCTGTGAGGAAATTCACTGAACCCTTTCAACAGGCTTGAATTCTGTCGGCAGCCCAACCATCCCCTTGTTTACTGTTGAAATAATTACTACTTTGCCATAATATTAGCTCTGAGCCGTGACTCCATTACCATTATCACCGGAATATTACCCATTTATTATCTCCCAGCAACCCTGGAAGATGAATACTGGGCTTTAGAGACCAATTGTTTTACAGCAGACAGGATCTTAGTGTGCATTGTTTAATGAGGTAAACTACATTACAGCCAGCATTAATTTGGCTGCAGTGCACTCCACTAAATCACTCTTAACCTGGAAATCTGCCACTCTTTTTGATGTGCCCTTAATCGGCGAGGATGGGAGACATCCTTTGAGAAGAGGCTGGAGCTGAGGGGAGAGGAGAGGAAAGGTTAAAGGTGAGCGCCCGGCCCAGAGATGTGTGCTTAAGAGGAGGGACGGCTGTGGAGTTCAGGACCAAGGGAGGCAGGAGGAGGAAGCAGGCGGAGGGCATGCATCCTGTGTTCTGCTGGTCCCAAATGCCTGGGAAGATGCAAAGGTGATATGATGGCTGAAAATAATCCACATTCCTCCCCTTTCTAAGCTCGGGAGTTACGAATCCACAGAATCCATTTTCTGACCACATTTGGCTTTTCTCTTCTATTTGGCATCTTCAGAATGACCACATCAACCCACAACAGACAGAAGACAGAACAAGACAATGAGATTGTCTTTTGGCGTGAGATTGTCTTTTGCGATGAGAGGCAGGGCAGCCTCCCAGAGCTCTGGCCATTTGCTGAGCTCACAGGAGCCTGCGTGTGGACTCGCGGAGCTCATTGCCTTAGGTGAAATGCAGCTGGAAACACACCAAGAAACAGAGGGGCAGATGAAAGGAGTTTCTGCATAAAGCCTCCCTTGTCACTTACATTCTTGCCGTAAGCTGCATAAAGTCACCTGAGGACTTTGTTAAAGTGCAGATTCTAATTCAGCAGGTCTGGGATAGGGCTGAAAAGTCTTCATCTCTAAGTGGCTCCCAGGGGATGCTGATGTTGCAGGTCCACAGCCAAAGGAGCCTTGTTTCTCTAAGAAATGTCTGCACTGCCTTGTTCAAGATCATGCTCCATGCAGTCTAATAAAACAGCAGCATAGTTACCATTTTTGAGGTGGGCAAACAGAAATGAATTCCTTTTGTTCCATCAAATGCTGACAACTTCTATACAGGTCCTGCGGTGAATGAAGCACAAAAACTTCTCAGAAAGGATATCCCAAATACAATAGACAGCAGAGACGCTGCTGTAGGTTGGTGCCTTCAGATTTTTAGGGCAGAGAACATTGTAGTCCTAAATTGTCCTAAGAAATTACTTTTATATTACCAATTGAGAAAGAATCAAAAGGGCTTGAACTTTGGACTCTTGGAATCCAATCCAATGTTTTTCTGTAAAGAGAAATAAATATATTTTCTGCTATGCCACTGGTGAGTTTCCCAAAATTATTTGTTTTCCTGATGTTGAAAACTTTCTCTCTGCACAGCCTAAATGAATGTAAAACTTAAGCAATCATCCCATAAACCTAGCCCAGGTGATTGTGGTTGAAATTTTAAAAATTGTTTATTAGAAAATTCCAGAGTTTCTTCTTTAAAAACTAAGGTGGGGCTGTTATGTTTCTCAAAGTCTCTTTCAGTTTACCCTGTGTTCATCTTCCCAAGCACCACCATCACTGCTTTTCACTGACAGAGACAGAAAAACAGTCTTTGTGATTTAATGTGTAATCTCAAGAATAGCAGAACTTGACTGATGGTATAAATTGGGGATGCCTTTTACTGCACATCTTCCCTCCCAAAACTTTTTATTGTACCCATCTTGAAAACTTATAATGAATATTTTTTATCTCCAGCCATACATATGAAGTGTAAGGGGTGTGTGTGCATGTCTGGATGTGTGGTGTGTTTCATCCTCTATAAGAGTAGCATAACAATAATAATTCTTCTTTTCAAATGTTATCATAATTAAAGAAAAGGGACATCATTAATTTATTTTCATATTGTCTACCAAACTGTTCCACTAGTGTTTAGATTACATTTATCTGGTTTGGGAGCATTATGCCTCTCCTAGTTCATTTGTCCATCCATTCATCCATCCATCATCCATCCAACCATTCATCCATCCAACCATCCATCCATCTATCCATCCATCATCCATCCATTCATCCATCCATCCATCCATTCATCCATTCATCCATCCAACCATCCATCCATCCATCCGTCCGTCCGTCCATCCATCCATCCATCCACAAACATTTGCTTAGCATCTATTAGGTTCTGGTAAAGCTGGAAAAAACAGTAAAAATTAGAAAAGTAAATACAAATGAGACGTGGTTTCTGTCTTTGGGGATTTCATAATTTATCAGGAGAGACAAATATAAATAACCTTTGTGATACCATTTGGTGGCACATTTTAGTCCTTCTCTTCTTTCCTCAACTCTATAAGCAGTTTGTTTTGTTTGTTTTTTTTTTTTTTAGAAATAATCTCTAATTCTTTTCATTGAATCATAGATAAAAGAAGGAGTGGGATCTAGCAGAAAGCTAAGAGTATAAACGGGGTCTGATTTTGAAATGGTGATTCTAACAGTTTTCTTGGGTGAGTCTCCAATACAACTACAACTCCAGTTCTTTCTCCACTTGTAGTAGGGTCTCCAATTTTAAAACTGGGCATTACTAACTTGACTCTTCCATCTCAAGAATGTTTTTACATATTCCAGTGAGAGACTGTCCTGTTGCAAACATGAGTGGAGCCCTCAGCTTAGCTCTAGAGAGCAGCTGTTCGCTGGAGACTACACATTTGCCAGAAGAATAACATCCTGTTGAAGACACTTTGCCACTGGCTTTTTCAAGCACCCAAAAATGGAAGACTTAACTGAAGGAAATTTGTTCAAAAGAACTTGAGAGATTAGGGGGTGAAATTAGATAGAGAAAACATTCTAAACACGATGAGCTATGTCATCAGTAAAATGCGTTTTGGCATAACCAAGTTGTGAATTGAAACAGTTACAGAAATATTGCGGCTGGGGAAATCCCAAGTGTTTCTACAGTTGAACCTCCCTGATTAGAAAATCCCAAATCAGAAATTTTCCAAAATCCAAAACTTTTTAAGCACTGACATGGTATCACAAATGGAAAATTCCACACCTGACTTCATGTAACAGGTCACAGTCAAAATGCAGCCAAAACTTTGTTTCACACAAAAAATTATTTAAAATACTGTCTAAAATTACCTTTAGGCTATGTGTATAAAGTATACATGAAAGGTAGGTGAATTTTATGTTTAGACTTGGGACCATCCCCAAGATATCCCATTATGTATACACAGATATTCCAAAATTTCAAAAAATCCAAAATCTGAAACTCTACTGGTCCAAAGCATTTCACATAAGGGATGCTCAACCTGTATTAGATAAATTAAGAAATTTGCTTTATGTAAACTTTAATATATGTATTTCATATTTAACACATTTATATATAGTGTTTTTTCCTTTTGGCACATAACGGCTATTTTATTTGGTTGATAATCATGTGATTGGTGCTCTGAGATCAATTTAACCATTTTTACTGAATAGTTACCATGTGTTGGACACAATGCTATACAATTAAATTTAATATTATTTAGTCCTCATGCCCTCCTAGCAATACAATTCAGTGATGTCTAGTTACATGAGCCAAATCAACTAATGGGATATTTTCACTGTTGAGCAGGGACATACAATCAGAGTAATTCTAAGTCATAAACACAAACAGCACCCTTTTGGTAACTGGCTCTGTCCAGGCATGTTCACCTCTTGCCATGACCTCTTGCATGTGTCTCTGTAACATGAAGCTGATAATGAATTGTTCCCTACTCCTAATACTAAAAATATCTGTGATACAGATGTAAAACTTACTTAAAAGCTATAATGAAAGTGCACAATTATTTTGCATGTTTGTATACAAGCCTCATATCCACAAGTGCACTTGGATGCACCCTCCAGTCCTGCTCCCTGATTTCTAGTCCATTCATCAAGCCCAATTGCCCATACACACTAGAATTCTCTGTTAAGAAGCAGCATTTGGGAGGAAAATGTAAACTAGCCTTTGTTGTGATGGTCGCAGTATGTGTGTGCTGTGTTTTCTCTGCCTCTGAGGAAAATTACTGTGAGTAAAACCCATATTATGCTATCAGATGGAATCCTAGCCTTTGCTCAATTGTACTTTGCAATGGCACAATAGATTGTGGTCGTTTGATACCATCTCCTTTGGTTATTTTCCTCATGTTTGTTTGTCTCTCAGCTAATCGGAAGAATTCAAGAGCCTTGAGTAGATCTCTCAGTCCTTAGCCTCAGATCAACTAGTGGAGCCTTCCCCATCCTGGGTAACCTCTGGAAGTCAAGTTGTCTTGATTTGCATTATCATCTTTATTTATCTGCTCTCCAGAGGATCCCCATCTTAACAATTAAAGTACATACAAGAAAATGACTGAGGATTTCCTTTTGGCTTCCCTGGAAATGGAGGATCAAGCTGAGTAAATTCTCCAAGCTTCTCAATTTGTGAAGAAAAAAATGTTACATTTAGAGGGAAAAAGGGGGATCTTGACTAGTTAAAAAAAAAGTGGTGTGTGGGGACAGGGTGCAAGTGGGAGAAAGAAAGAATAGCAAAGAAAAGAAGAGGTGTCATTTGAGCGTCTCGCTGGTTTTTCTTCTATCCTGGTTATCAAAAGGGCAAAGAAATTCCACTTCCCTTTCCCCTCCCTCAGGTGCCCTCAGGCCTGCGCAGCCTGGGCTGGGTTTGCATGGCTTTCACATGGCCTGAGCAGCCACCCTGTTTGAAAGTAAAGCAAGAGCAGCCACAAAGTGTCTGAGATTCATGAGATCGCTCCACAAATTAAAACCTTTTATCAGCCTCTAAGAGCTGTGCAAACTAATTAGACTTTGGCCAAACTTTGCCAATGACTCCCTCGAGGTATTATTATAAAATTTTGAGCTTGGAAATGCGTCCCCATTCTGTCAACATCAGGTTGTTTCAGCTACAGAAATCGAGCTCCGGCTCATTTTAGCTTCCATGATGTGCTTTGCATAAACCGTGGCATTTTGCACTGGTGTGGCAGGGAGGAGAGCAGCACAGCTGTATTTGAAAACACGTAGGGATGTTTCCCAGCAATAGGACTTGAGACACAGGGACTGAGTTTCAAGAAAAACCCATTTTTGCCCCTCAATTTTAAGAAGACACTGCAGAGTTCTTAGCTTAAGATGTAAAGGTGAGTACTCAACATCGAGGTCTAACAGCTTCTCATTTAGGGAGGACATACCGTGTCCCTTCTCAATGTTTCTGGCTCTTCATATGCAGATGAACAGCTCTTACTAACAAATTGCTGCCCGAATCTTTGGTCATGTTTTGAAGCAAAGTCTGGGAGAGGAGGCTTTCTGGGAGAGCTTGGTAAGAAGTCAGTAAACTTTGATTTGTCTCAGAGGATTTAGGTTCATAAATAGCAAGGGTGCAGACTCCATGTGACTCAACGAATTTTTGAATGTGTCAGTCAAAAAATATTTATCAAACATATATAGGCTCTTTGGCATTATTAGAGGTATGTAGGGGCATCGACAGTGCCACGTATGCCAGTGGAGCCGTTCGTACTCTTGCTGTGAATAATTCTGTGCGGGGCTGGCCTGGGAGTACAGAATCCCTCCGCAGCAGACGTGTCCTTCCACACGCTCAGAGCCCCGGGACACAGCGGACCTTGAAGGGGAACAGAGAAGTAGAGGGTTTCCCTCATCCTTAGCCTACGACTGGAGAAGGGGGCCAGGAAATGAGAGGTGGTGTTTGTTTCCTTTGCTGAAAATGGAGTGAGGTGACCTTCCGATGTACCCAAGCACCTTATGACAGTGTGTTTTTACCACTTCCCAGGACTGACCATCTGCCCAACTTTTGGACCAATCCTGGGCCACTGGTGGAGCCAGGAAGCCCGGAGGGTCATGGAAGGGGAGACTCTTGCCCAGGAGTCCGCAAGAGGGCTATGCAGCTGGCATATTGGCCCACAGAACCCCCAGCCCTGCAGCATGGCTCCGAGTGCTCACAGGCCCAGAGCAGAGGCAGGAGTGGAGGCTGCCAGGGTTTAGACCCTCCTTCACTAAAGGGTCCCCAGGTTCATTTTTGTCTCTGCCATCTGCCATCCCGTCTCACGGGCTCTCATGATGGGCTCATCAGGTTCTTGAATTCTTTCCAGTTGTCACTAATTACACTGCAGATCTGTAAATCATTCCAGGCTGGGGCTGACAGGGAGAGACGGGCCCTCTGCCATGCTGAGCTCGGGGCTTCCTGCCACACCTGCAGCCAGTGACCCTAAGGCAGCCGCTGATCGGTGCTCAATGTAGAAGGCAGGGGTGGCCAGTCCCTCAGTCACCCATCCCCAGGCTCTAGCCCTGGCTGTGGCCGCATATGCGTGTTCATCCTGGGACCAGGTCTCAGGTAATGCAACCCGGACTGGAAGAATGTAGCCACTGTCTCTGCCTATAGGTTCTTACTGCTCTTGGAATATTAAAGACAGCTGCGAGGAAAGGTGAGCTTATTGCATCTGGAGTTTGATAAAGTTGGGACAGCGCTTCTCAAACTTAGTTTAATAATACAACAGACTGATTCATCAATTCTGGGATTGGGTCTACCAATCTTCATTTTAAATGTGTACCCCAGGTGATTCTTGGGTGGTGATTCAGTACCCCACTTGAAGAACTACTGTACACTAACTTACACTTTTTCTGGCTCTAGGCTATCATTGACCCTCTTGTTTCTGGATCGGGTGAGAACCTTCTCTTTTCAACCTTGCTATTCCAATAGGGACACAAATGTCTTCTGATCAAAACTACACTAGCTTCTGTGTACACAGGAGCTATTCACAATGCAGGTGCACAAGCCCTATGCCTGTCACTGAGAGAAAGCCTGTGACCTCTGGGTGTTCTGCAGCCAGTGTGGTGGGTCGAGAGGGAACCCCCAGTTCCCCCAGCCCACCGGCTCACTGCACAGATTGCTGGCTAATGGGGCGGAGCTAGCTGAAGTGCCTTCTATTAATGGAGCAGAATATAAACAGAATAAAGCCTTCATTTCCCAGGCTGTGGTTTCATTATTAATATACTTTACAGTTCACAGGTTGTACGTTTGCGCCCGTGTTTTCTCAGCTGGTGTAATCTGCGGCTCCGAGTGAGAACAGTCATAAAATTTTCATTTCCAGTTGAATGTGCGTCCAATTCGCCGTGAAATGTTCTATCTGTCGTGAATATTAAGCGCATTGAAGCAATGGCTGCTGGATTAGGCAGAGAGGTTCCCCGGCCCCTCCCAGGCCTGGCAGAGGACAGAGGTTTGCTGGGGCATGGGTGGAACTTCGACAGGGAAGCTGCATGGTGTCAAGTCTGTTTTCTTGTGGCCGCCTCCTGGAGCTTTGGTGGAAGAGAAGGAACCTACTGTCCAGGCCGGGAAGAGGTCAGAAATAATGGAGACTCTGCACCTCGGGGCCAATAACAAGCAATCAGACAGAAGGTGAAAAGGCACAGGAAGTTCAAGTGCAGAGTAGAGAAGTGGAGGGCCAGGTAATGCCAGGGCAGAGGTGAGGAGGGAGGGGATTGCAGAGGAGAGGGCAGGCCTGAGGGGAGCGTGCAGCGGGGAGGCTGGCTGTCAGGCATAATATTAGAAAGAGCAAGCAGAGCATTTTATGCACAGTGCCTTTTTAGACACATCAATAAAGCTCTGAGGAGAGAGCACGGTGGAGGAGGTGCAGGGAAAGGCTGGGAGTGACAGCAATTAGAAGAACCTTTCTGTCCGATGGCCTGCAGCGCTGGTGCGGGGCAGAGCATCATGGGGACTCTGTCCCAAGAACAAATGTTTCCCACTGCCGGCTGTCCTGCAGTGGATGTTATTTTTCTCACAGCACTGACTTAGTCTCCCTTCCTCTCATGCCACTACCTGTGCTCAGCCATGCCAGCTGGCTCCTCCCTCCAAACCCTTCCTCTCCTCTTTCTTTTTTTTTTTTTTTTTTTTTTTTGAGACGGAGTCTCACTCTGTCGCCCAGGCTGGAGTGCAGTGGCCGGATCTCGGCTCACTGCAAGCTCTACCTCCCGGGTTTACGCCATTCTCCTGCCTCAGCCTCCCGCAGCCAGGACTACAGGCGCCCGCCACCTCGCCCGGCTAGTTTTTTTGTATTTTTTTTTAATAGAGACGGAGTTTCACTGTGTTCGCCAGGATGGTCTCGATCTCCTGACCTCGTGATCCGCCCGTCTCGTCCTCCCAAGGAGTTGCAGCATTGTGCCAGTTTCAGGGTTGAAACTCCTCGGTTGTTTCCAGAGTGTGCAGAGAGACTAGGGGAGCCAACGCCAGTAGGGGTAGAAAGCCTGCAGGATTCTGATCTCTATTCATACGAGCTGCTGCGTCAGGATCTTTTCTCCCTAGGGGCCACGTGCCTCTGTCCTATGGGGGATTGATGAGAGAGCTGCCCTAGGCTAAAGGAGCATGAGAAGCAAATAGGAAGACTGAGCAGAGAAAGAGGAATCTCCTTGCCTTGGGCCCACAGCCTCCTTAGCAACGGTGAGTGGAACTGTCTGTGCGCTGCAGGAGAATCCCAGGAAGACACCCACTTTGCCTTCCCAGAGCTAAAGTGCTGATTCAGGCAAAGGGGCCTTTGCACACCTCCCACACCGGCGGGACTCCTCCCACACAGGCGAGACTCCTCCCACACAGGCGAGACTCCTCCCACACAGGCGGGACTCCTCCCACACAGGCGGGACTCCTCCCACACAGGCGAGACTCCTCCCACACAGGCGGGACTCCTCCCACACAGGCGGGACTCCTCCCACACAGGCGGGACTCCTCCAAGCTTGCCCGGTGGCCCGGGAGGGTGTGACTGCCTGTGCACGTGTGTGTGTCTCCATCGACACAATCGCACAGTGAAAGTCAAACAGTTCGTTCTACATCTCTTGGCTATTTACAGTTAGAGCTCCCAACAGCCCAATGAAACAGCAATGGTGATTTTCCTCCTTTATAGGTGAGGAGCACCGCACAGCCACAGATTAAGCGATTCTGCCGAGGTCGCAGAGCTGAACTCCCAGAGGAGGCAGAACAAAACCCCTTTATTCTGATCTGGAGCCATGTGCACTCTCCCCCTCCTCCAATTATTGATAGTTGACTCCCTCTCTGGTTTCCAATTGTTTTGCTTTGGATAATATTCAAATAATTTTGTGTTTCTGAAACGCACACCTGCTGGGAGGAGTGAGTTGAGAGGAAGAAGCTGAAAAATGAGCTGGGCTGAGGTATTAAAGTGGTAGAAGAAGAAGAATTTACCAAGTGACAACCTAAACACATTTAGTTATAGCCCAGGAAGGCATCGTCTGTTTCCTACATCGGCCGTCCTTTCACACGCCAGTCACATACCGACTCACCTTCATTGTGAGCGGATGCCTTGAGAACAAAGCTTAGCATCCAGCATGATGCCTACAGCAGGCAAGAGCCCGGCCACCCTCTCTAGCCCCAGACTCATTCTCCGCCCTTGCTCACCACTGTCCTGCATCTTCCCAGGGTGGACTCCAGACATTTAAGCTTTGCAGATACTGTTCCCTCTGCTGAGAAAAGCACTCCATCCTCCTCCCCTCCCCAAACCTGGTGCCCACCCTCACAGCCTTCCAGAGGCAGCAGACAGGCTGCCTCCTTGGGAAACCTCCCTGGGCACCAGTTTTCACCCCCAAAGTGCAGCCCCCGTTCTGGGCTCCCCATAAGCTTGACACGTACACACCTCAGGCTCATCACTGGTCGCCCTGTGGTTTACCATCTCCGTGTATGTCCAGCTCACAGAAGAGACAGGGAGGTTGTCACAGACCCTAGAACGTCCATCCTCGAACACATACTCAGGGCCTGGGCATTGGAATTATACAAATTTGGGTTTTAAGCCCAGTGTTGCCATTTAGTTGCTTTGAGGCTCCTGATGAATCGCATAACCGGCTTAGGCCTCTGTTTTTACATCTCAAAAATGGGGACCCTAACTTCATCAGAGGCAGGTTATAAGCAATCAATCAGTGAGGAAATATATGTATGTGTGTGTGTATATATATATGTGTGTGTATATATATATACACGCTATAGAAAACTTAGACACTTTTGCTTCCCTTCTCTTTAATAGATGTCTCTTCTCTCCAATAAGTGTTTATTGGGTGAATACATGAATATGAAAAAAATATATAAGTGCAAAATTGTTTGATTCAGACTCAAGCTGTGCTGAGGATTCAGAAGGAAAACATCATCAAAAGGAAGTGTGGCCAGGCTCTTCGAGCAGGAGGTGGGCCGCGGAGGGATCCGAGCAGGGGGGTGGGCCTTGGAGGGATCCGAGCAGGCGGGGGGGGGGGGTGGGCCGTGGAGGGATCCGAGCGGGGGGGGGGGGGTTGGGCCGTAGAGGGATCCGAGCGGGGGGTGGGTGGTGGGCCGCGGAGGGATCCGAGCCGGGGGGGCGGTGGGCCGCGGAAGGATCCGAGCGGGGGTGGGGGGTGAGTCGTAGAGGGATCCGAGCAGGAGGTGGGCCGTGGAGGGATCCTGGATTCGGGGATAAGAACCCTTTAAATTTGGATCTAGGAGACCATCCTCTGCACATTCTCGTACCTTCCTCCTTTCCTTTCCTTCTGGATTTCCTTTTTTCTCTCTGTCTCTCTTTCTCTACCCCTGTCTCTTTTCTACTCTCTGATTTCTTTCGTCTATTGGACTTGAACATTTAGTAGACACTTGCTACCTCATTTTACCTCTTGTGTGTCTCTAACTTTGAATCTGAACTAGTTAACCCCTAAGAAAGGTCATTTCCAGGTCTTAAATCCTTGGATTTTCCAAGAGCCTCCCCTTCTCTCCACAGGCCCTAGAGAGAGCACCATTAAATGGCCACAGCCCACAGCATCCAAACATAGGAGAAAATGGAGAAATTGGGAGAAAGTGCTCTCAAAATGTTCTTGCCTGATGAATCTTTAATTCTACCCCCTTGTGGCTCAGAACTCCTGCCCTTAAACTGCATTCAGAATGCATTCCGCCAGTGTCCCATTCTCAGGGAGAGACAGGGGAAAAAACTGCTCATCCTTCTCCTGGCTTGTCACTGTAGAGTTGAGATAATAATAGTCTTTTTCTGATCCCCTGAACTTTCCCATCTGCTTCATAAAACAATGGCAATTTTTTTCCCTTGCTCTGTCTTCCTCTCTCTCTTTTATTTTTATCCTCCTACACTATAATTTAAAACTGTGGCAGTGCTATAGCCCTTGAGTTTTTTTTTTTTCCTCTTTCTTCTCCCCTTGCTTTAATACATGACTGTTATTTAAAATGGCCTTTCATCTGAGCACCAGGAGGCTGCCTGAGCAAGCTGCCTCCTGCTTTTAGAGAGGGAAGGTAGGGCCAGTGTGGTCCGTGGTCTTGCCTAGCACCTAGTTCTCTTCAATACTGCCATGCAAATCAGAAGTGTTGTTTGTTCTTTCTGAAAGAAGTCATCAGAAGCCAAGGTCTGGAAGTGCCCCTACCTCAGAAATGGACATCATATCAAGCTGGTGGCTGTCAGTGGTCCACCACACATCAGGTCCAAATAAAGCAATTTCAGCTGAAGGCGGTAAATTCAGTGTGCTCATCAATGCCAAGAGGGGAACGTGTATCAACCACTCAGCATGGAGACTCAGCCGTTGCTGTGCAGGCTTTTGCTCAGCTGAGCTGCCAATCACCATTCAGATGCATCTCTCCTCAGTTGGATGGGCACTGCACAGGAAAGGGTGGTGGCCAGGGACTGCCTTCCCAGGGGAAATGTCATCTATTTTGGGGATCAGAAAGGAAGGCATCGGACACTGGTGTTTCCCATACCAACTCTGCAGCATTCCCTGCCATGGACACTCATTCAGCTGCTGCTTTGGGGCACTGGCTGGAAGATGCTCCACACACCTACTATCTCTGTGACAGATCAGTTCCATGAATGCACCTGTACCTCTGAAAGTGATTTTGGCCTTGTCTGTTCTCTCCAAGCTCTCTCCAGAGCCCCCTCTGAACTGGCATCAGCAAGGCAATCATATTCTAAATGAGCTTCATGAAGAATAATACTCCATTGCAGTAAAACA